CATCCGTGCCCAATAAGTTCACGCATGAGCACCCAATTAACACACACATGAGCGCACAATTAATTTACATGTGAGCACCCAGTTGATGTATGCATGGGTGCCCAGTTAATTCATGCTGGATTGCACGCTTTTCCCTGCATGAGTGCCCTGGTGGCTGATGCATGAGTGCCCAGTTAATTGGTGCATGTGTCTCCAACCAGTTCATGCCTGAGTGTCCAATTAATTTATGCATGAGCACCTGATCCACTCACACCTGAGTGCCCAATTAGTACGTGCACAAGTGTGTTATCTACTAATGACACTAATTTACACATGAGTGCCCAATTAGTTCACGCAGGAGTGCCCAGCGAGTTGACGCGTGACTGCTCAATTAGTCCGTGCATGAGTGCCCCAGAAATTCATGAATACCACAAAAAATTGATGCATGAGCCCCCAGCTGGCTCATGCATGAGAGCCCCTTTCACTCACGCCTCAGCACCCTGGCAGTTCATGCATGAGCACCCAATTAGTTCACCTAGAAGCACCCACATGATTTATGCATGAGTGTCCAATTAGTCCATGCATGATCTCCCGGTGTATTTTTGCATGAGTGCCCATCTGGCTCAGCCATGGGTGCCCAGTTAGTGCAGGCCTAACTGCCCCAGTCCTTCATGCCTGAGCACACACTTTGCTCATGCAGGAGCACCCACTGAACGCATGTGGGTGCCCAGTTTCCCATTATCTTGTGGCTGTGTTGAGCACCCACAGCAGGTTTAGGCAGCCTCAAACCCAGTGGGAGCCCAGTTTAGGTTGATAAGCTGGCTCCCCCAGCCTGGGATGCCCAGGAACCTGTGAGGACCCTGTGAAAGAGAAGCAGACCCTGCCATGACTCAGTGGGTGGTGCTGGACCAGTTGGCTGTGGGTTGGCAGCAGAGCCCATGACCCAGCAGAGCTGGAATGCCCTGTGGCAGTGAGGGAAGCCACTTTGTGGCTGGAAATAATTAACTGGTTTCCTGATAAGGTGGTGGTGGCCACGGCCCCTGTGAGGCTGCAACATCATGTCACCTCACGAATCCCACTGTGGCCAGGGGTCCCTGAAGCGTTTTGAATTTGGCCACCTCCTGCCCTCCTTCCTGCTGCCCCGGCCCTGCCACGGTCCAGCGAGCAGTGAGCTCCCCTGCAGCAGGGGCACCGATGGGGATTTGCAGTCCCGGGTCCCTCCTCTCCTCGCTGCCTGGAAAACACAAATTAACAGGCTTGAGCACTGATTAACCAGAGCTGAATCTTGCTGCAGTGGCAGCTGGGTGGTGGGAGGAGAGGGGGCACGGGAAGGGCGGGTGGTGACGGAGCTGTCAGTCCTCGCCTGTGCCGCTGGGATTGATGGAGAGGTGGGGGGGGAGAGGGTTGGGGGGGTTTGGGTACCGGTAGCTGGGAGGAGGGTGCCGGGGGCTGCTTGGAGGCTCTGCCCCTCTGTGCGATGAGCAGCCAAAACCCTCCTGCCAGCTGAGGCGGGAGCAGGAGCGGACCGACCAGTGCTGCCAAGGGCAGCGAGGGCCCGTGGCCGCAGTTTGGCCGTGCGGGGCAGCTCCCGAGCTGCTCTGGGTGCCTGTTCCCACTGCCTGTCCCTGTCCCCACTGCCTGCCCTGCCTGCGGTGTGAACCCCTCGCTCGGCGATTCCCTGTTCTTTGCTAGGAGCAGCAGGAACAGCGATGTGCTGTCGCTGATGCGCTGTCGCTGCTGCCGTGCGGTGATGCGGTGATGTTCCTGCGGGGCCGGCGTCTGCGGCGCGCAGCCCGGGGCTCCCGGCTCGGCGATGCCTCTTCCAGCGTTGCGGTTCACAACGAATGCTAATACTCTGCCTTTATTTAGCGCCTTTCATCCCCAAGGATCCCGGGGCACGCTGCTACTAACAAGCTGCTACGTGTGCTATTTATAGCCCTCCCCACAGCGGCTGCGGGAGCGGCGGTCCCTGGAGCCCGGCACGGCAGCTGAGCCCGGCTCAGTCCCGGCTTAGCCGGAGCTCGGCTCTGCTCCGCTGTGATGCTGCAGTGGGGCTGCTGTGGGTCACCCCCTTGTCCTTGTGCGCCGGGGGCACACCTGGCTGAGGTTTATATCGCGGCAAATTGATGTGTATCGGCTCAGCATCGCGCCGTAATCGATGCCGGCGGAGGGAAATGCAGCAGCCGCCGCTGCCACACGGGCACTTTCTGTGAGCTTGGCTGGGCTCTGCGTGCCGGGGAGCTGCAGAGCGTGGATCCGGGTGAGTGGAGGGACAGCCCTGCCTCTCTGTGTGTCTCCTGTCCTCAGCCTCAGGACAGGTGACTCAGTCACACACTCAGTGGTGTGTCCCCAGGGCTTCCCTGTCTGCAGGTCCAGCTGCCGGGCTCGGCATTAGCATCCCTAATCGGTTCCACTGGCTGCCACACCCAGCAAGGTCGGAGTGGCTGGGAAGGGACAATCATGAAGTCATCATCTGTCCCAGATCCGCAGCAGCAGACACAGGGAGGCAGGTACAGCTCAGGCCCCGCTCACCTGGCCACAGCCACGCTGGATCAGGGCCGGGGCGTTTCCCTGCACTGGGAACACTCTGCCCCTGTGGAGAGGGGAGATTTGGTGGCAGATTTGGAGGGGTGCACCCAGGGATGGGTGGTTTTCCAAGGGCTGGAAGATGAGGTTGTGCTCCCACCCCAGAGCAAACCCCACAGCTTCCTCCGCACCCGGAGTACAGGCACTGGTGCCCGTGTGCTGGAGGAGGGATGGGGCTCTGCATGGCTCCATTCCAGGATGCACATTAACAAATCCCTCCTCGGGAGCCCCGTGCTGATTTTCAGGCTGGCACCTGAGTGGTTTCCTCCGTCGGAAAAGCCTCTCCTGGGAGCATCACACATCCCTCCTGCGGCACGAGGGGAGCTGGCTCCATCCCTCCCTCCCTCCTCAGCCCGAGCGTATCATTACCAGCATTTCTCCTGTACTAAAAAAAGCACAAATTTCTTAATTGTTTCCTGCTGGAGTTGAAAGGCAGCTCCCGGGCCCAAAATAGCACGTTGGGGGAAACGCAGTCGAACAAGAGAGAGCAGAAGGCGATTTGCCTGAAGGAGCTGAGCTGAGCCCTGACTGCAGCCTCAGGCTGCTGCTTTGGCTCCTTTCACCTGCCCCAAGGGCTGCCCGAAGTCCTGCTGCTCACCCTCCTCCTCCTCCTTCCACCTGCCCTTCGTGGTGCCCGCTTGGGCTTGACTGGGGCTGCAGAGCTGGTGCCTGGGGATCCTCGAGGTGGGTGTCATGGCCAGTGTGTCGATGCTTGTAGGGAATGTGTGCAGAGAAGCCTGTTCCTGTAAGAGATGTCACTCAGCATCTCTCTTTTGGAAGGATGCTTCTGTGCAACCCTTTTTTTGGGATGGGGAAATCCCTTGGGACTGGCATGACTGTTGTTTTAGCCCACCCCAGCTCAGCTGCAGCCAGCATGTCCTTTCTGGCTCCCTCCTGATAGGAGACCTCTGTCCTTTCCCCTGTCTGCTCTTCTGCCAAAACAAACAACTCTCCAAATCCCTCCTGCGGTGCAGCCGAAGCCCTTGGTGTCCTTCATCCCAGGTGCCAAGCATCCCTGTGCCTGCCCCACCTCTTGTGGGGTGCGGCTGCCCAGACACCCCATGGTGGCACTGCAGGTGCTGCTGCCCTGTGCCAACTCCCTGGGGAGCCTGGGGTAGCCCTTCCTGGGAGAACTGCAGCCTCTGTCCCTCCAGCAACCCCTGAGCTGGGATGGAGGGACCCCCAATGCACGGGGACAGCCTTGGGCACAGCAATTCCTGCCCACAGGGATGCTGGAGCCAGCACATGGTGAGGGGGGCCCTCGCCTCTGCGCTCTGCACCTTCGGCCAGGCACGTTACAAATCTTCCTGATGGAAAATTGCTTTCTTTCTTTTTTTTTTGCCATCCAAGGTAATTGGCATCTGTTGATGTGTCTTGGGTCTCTATTTTTATCAGCCGTTTGCACATTGACATCTCCGCTCGCCTCATTATCCCCGCGCCTTTCAGACCTGTGGCTTTTCTACCATTTGTTAGATGCACGATGCAAAAGAAATGACTAATGAGGTTGTTCCCCCCTGTGCCCACCCCCTGGCACGGGGCTCCCTGCTGGCATTCTGGCCAGGCACTGCTCCTGCAGTGGGACAAGCAGGGATGGGTGCCAGGCCCCTGCCCAGCATCCCGCATCCCATCAGAGCCTTTCCTCTGCTGGGGACATTTGCCATCCCAGCAGCTGTCCCTGGGCTGGGGACACTCAGGATTGCCAATGTTCGCTGTTTTCTAGCTTGTACATTGTTGGGGTTTCTCCAGAGCCTGGTGAAGCTTCCCAGGGCCCTGGGATGGGTCTGATGATGTTTCTCCAAGTGGGTCAGAGGCAGCTGGTACCTGAGGGGATGCCAGCTCTGGGGCTTTGCTCATGCCCCACGTTCAGTATGTCAGGGCCAGGCATGTTCCTTCCCTGAGCTAACTCCAAGCAGATGTTTTGGCAGATGTTTCCAGGGATGTTTTAGCTCTGGGGAGGTGGGAGGGCAGGGCCAGTACTGTCCCTGCATGGTCCACAGTATCTTGCAGTGATGGTGCTGCACTCTCCTGGCAGGGACCAAAACATTTTGAGGAGCTCCCTGGTTTCAGGGCTGGAATGTCCCCAGCATCTGCAGCCTTGGCCCCACTGACCACCTGGGGTGGCGCAGACTGTGCCTCAAAAGCAGCCACTGGCATGTGGGGAGCACATGGCGGCATGTGGGGAGCACATGGCAGCATGTGGAACAAGTGAACCCTGGGGTATTCCCTAGGGAATTGACTGATGGGAGCCCTGGGGCATCCTCCCTGGGAATTCACTGATGGGAGCCCCGGGACATCCTCCCAGGGAAGTCACCGATGGGAGCCCCAAGGCATCCCCCTGGGAAGCCACTGGCAGAAGAGCAGAGGAACAGCTGTCACAGCAAAAGCACTAAATTCCTGTCTCTTTTTTTCCTCTTTTCTCCTGTTTTCTCTTACAGTCACAGAGAAGGAGGTGCAGCAGTGGTGAGTGTCCTCTGTGGTGGTGAGCTGGCAGAGGTTTGGGGATGTGGGCGAGGGGAGGGGAGCTGATGGCACTCAGCCACCCCGCTGGCTGGGCAGAGGTGGGGGGGGCAGGAGGCATGGGCAGGGTGCAGGTGTTGCCTCATAGGAAAAAGAGGGTTCGGAAAAGGTGCAGAGAAAAGAAAATAGAGTTTTTTTCCTTGCACACCTCATGCATGGTGGGGCTTGACTGCTGCAGCTCTTGGCTCTTCCCTCCCCATATGGGCGGCATGGGGACATGGGGACTGTCCAGCTGGTGGCCAAGCCTTGGCTGCAGGAGGCCGGTGCTGTCCCAGCATGTCCCCATTTGCAGCAGGGCCCACAGAGGCTGGCAGGGGTAAGATCCATGGTTTCCTGCCGGCAGCATGCTCTCACCCCATCCCCTCCGCCCCACCGAGCACAGCGCCCTAGAAAAGCCACTGCTTCCCTTTCATCTCCCTATCCCACCAGTCAAGGTTTGCTTTCTTTATCTCTTTCTCTCATCCTTCCCCCCACCCGATGAGTCATAGCTGCAGCAGGGTGGAAAAGATGTCACCGGCACTTCGGTTTCCCACCTCGCCACCCCCTTCCCCTCCTCCTCCAGCCCTCGTCCCGCTGCAACGGGAGCCTGACAGATCTGGGCGATGTGTTGCATAATATTCACGTACCCCACGTGGTCCCCGTGTGCTCCCTGCGTGCTCCCTGCACCCACAGGTGCCACACCCTCCAGGGTGGCACTTCGCAGCACCGAGGTCCCCAGAGCTGGGACCGAGGGCTTTTTGAGGTGTTTAAGCATTGATGGTTTTTGGAGATGCCACCCGAGGGCACAGTAACCCCGCTGTGCCCCCCCAGCTCCTCTGAGCAGCTTTCACTTGGGGTTGTGCAAAAATCATATCCTGAGTTGGAAGGGACACACGAGGATCGTCAAAGTCCAGCTCCTGCATATCCCAAGAATCCCACCATGTGCCTGAGAGTGTTGTCCAAATGCTTCTTGACCTCTGGCAGGCTCGGTGCTGTGACCACTTCCTTGGGGAGCCTGTTCTGGTGCCCAAACACTCTCACGGAACCTTGGCTGCCATTGTGCCGTTGTTTTTCACCAGAGCATGGCTGCAACATGGGGTTGCTGTCAATCCTGTCTGGGCAGGGGGTCCCTGTCCCCTCCCAGCTCCTGGGCACTGTTCAACACAAGCCTGGCTGTGGCTCTGTTGCCACTTGTGGGCTGGCAGCAGGTTGGAGCAGTGGGCACTGCTCGGTGTCACCGGTGCCACTCGCTGCTTGTCCCCACTGCCACCCTCGCTGTGCTGCCCGCAGGGACCTCATCCCACAGGGCTGGGAGGCTGCGGGTGGGTGATGGGAGCGACACAGGGAGCACCTGGGGACCTTCCCAGCTCCAGCCCACTGCAGCACTGGGAAGAGCCTCATCCCTGCTCCCCAGGGCTCAGTGGGGAGATCCTCCTGGTGCCCATGCTCTGTCCTCCCTCCGCAGGTACAAGGGCTTTATCAAGGACTGTCCCAGTGGGCAGCTCGATGCCGCTGGCTTCCAGAAGATCTACAAGCAGTTCTTCCCCTTTGGCGACCCGACCAAATTCGCCACCTTTGTTTTCAATGTCTTTGATGAGAACAAAGTAAGTGTGGGACCCGGGGGCGCAGTCCAGGGGAGCCAGGGCTGTGTCTGTGGTGGTGGTGGTGGGATGGGTTTGGAGCACGGCTGTGCAGCACCGGAGGAGCAAAATATTCCAGTGCTTCCTGGGGCGTGAAATCGAAGTGGCGCAGCTGGAGTGAGTGAGCCCCCGCGCTTATTTTAGTCGAGGACAGTCACGTGGGGAAAGGCGATGAAGTGGCAAAGCAAGAGAGGAGAAACGCGATGTTTTGGTGCTGCTGACAAAAGCCCAGCCTTGCAGTGCCCCCACATTCCAGAGCCGCTCCTGCAGCGATGCTCGATGCTCGCTGGCGGGGCCGGGCACCAGCGGCCGGATCACGCTGCTGGAGGCAAATGTGCATCGCTCCTCCCTCCCTGTTGCCTCCTTGGATGTGCCCCCTCAGAGGGCACACGTGGGCAGGGAGGGCTTTGCTGGACAGGGATGGCAGCAGCACCCTCACCCCCTCCTTCCCTTCCCCAGGACGGGAGAATCGAGTTTTCGGAGTTCATCCAGGCGCTGTCAGTCACCTCCCGGGGGACGCTGGACGAGAAGCTGAGGTGTAAGTGCTCCCCATGGGATGCTGATGGGCTCAGCCCCATGAGGGCGCTGGGGGATGTCACGTGGGGGTGACAGGCTGCAGTCCCAGCACCTCGGTGTTGCTCTGGCTCGCAGGGGCGTTCAAGCTGTACGACTTGGACAACGACGGGTACATCACGAGGAACGAGATGCTGGACATTGTGGATGCGATTTATCAGATGGTGGTAAGTGGGGTGGGGTGTGAATGGGTTGAGCAGCCTCTGGGGGTCCCTGCTGGGCTGGAGCCTGTCTCTCTGGGAATGCTCAAACACCTCCAGTTCCCTCTTTGGCCTTTTTTGATGGGGGATTTTGGCCATCATGGCCAGGACAGGGTCTGGATCTGGCTGCTGCGTGTGGTTCTGGTGCCAACACCGACCCCTTGCACTCTGTCCTGATGTCAGGGGTGTTGAGGGGACAAAACTTGTGTCCTTGCCTGGGGACCCCTTCCAGGCAGGGCACAGGTGGGTGTGTGACTGGGCCCTGTCCTGCTGCTGCAGGGAAACACAGTGGAGCTTCCTGAGGAGGAGAACACACCGGAGAAGAGGGTGGATCGGATTTTTGCCATGATGGACAAGGTGAGGATGCTTGAGGGCTTTTTCCCTGAGGCCAAGGGATTCAGGAGGTGCTTTGGGCCCCTTTTCTGCATCTCGGCTCTTGCAGGTGCCTCCTTCCCCCATCAATACAAGGTCTCAGCTGCCACCAGGATCACTGTGGGACCCCCCCACATCCCCCAGAGATCCCTGTATCCATTTCAGGGTCCCCGAGGTGGCACTGCCCCATCCGTGGCACTCCTCCCTGGCTGCAGGCGTGGGTGGCTTGATGGGGAAACCGAGGCTGTGGCAGTGGGGAGGACCTGGGTGGCCCTGTGGGATGGTGTGGGTGCTGCCGGGGTCCCGGGGTGCTCGGTGCACTCAGCTGGGCCAAAGTGGTGCTGTAACAGGAGTGTTTTTCCAGAATGCAGACGGGAAGCTGACGCTGCAGGAATTCCAGGAGGGCTCCAAGGCCGACCCCTCCATCGTGCAGGCGCTCTCCCTCTATGACGGGCTCGTATAGTCCCGGCGCCGAGCGGCGGTGAGTGCAGTGCAGGGGGCCGGGGGTGCCCCATGTCCCACCTCCCTGGTGCCCTTCTCATCTTCCCTGGCTGATTCTCCTCTGCTGAAGCATCAAAACATGGGCATCCCCCTCAGATCCAGAAAGGGGGGGATGTTTGCCCCATTCTGATGGGTTTCTCCCAGTCCCTTCCATCCCACAGAGCACCCCCAGACCACATCCCATGGGGATTTGCCTGTGGCACAGCTCATGCTCTCATGAACAGATCTGGCTGCAGAGGAGGCAGGCAGGCAGCTGGCATGCTGGGGGCATGGGAATGCTCCAGAAAGATATTAAATTAAATGTTTTATTTATATTATATCTTATCATATTATGCCCTGGAGCTGGTGTTGTCGGGGATTCTGTGGTTCGTGGCATCCCACAAATGCTGGGCTGAGCACACTGTGGACCCTTCTGTTCCCCATGGGGCCACGTAGAGGTGTCTCATGGGGTGATTTTGTTCATCCCACTCCAGTCAGCGTCCAGCCGTGGGGGGTGAGGTGTTTTTTGACCTCACTGGAGTTCTGAGCTCTTCAAATCTCCCTTGTGTTTCCCGCTTTGCCTTTCCAGCTGCGCTGGTGTCTCGCGAGGTGGCCACGGGGATTTCTGCCCGTCCTTCTCACCCCGTTTCCCTTCTCCCCGCCCTCTCCTGCAGATGCCTGGGGGAAGACGCTCTCCGTGCCATCCGACCACCGCCGCGCGAAGCTTGCCTGTCCCTCTCGGCCTTCCTTTCTGTTCCGCGAGCAAAGGATGCCCTCGCAGCGCGAGCTCACTCCCCCTCTCTGCACTCTGAACCAGCCGCTGCCATTCGCCAACTTCTGCTTTTTCCAAAAAAAAAAATCCCCGCGCCAGACCCTGGTCTGAGCGGCAGCGAACGCCCAAGACTTCAGGGCCGGGGGAACGGGTCGAGCGTCGCCGAAGGCAGAGCTCCCCCCCCCGGCCTCCTCGCTCCCCTTTTGCTCCCCTTTTCCTACGTTTTCGGATGGGACTGCGGATGTGCTGGCGTGGTCCTCTCCTGGGAACCAGCCGGCTGGAGACAGAGCCCAAAGGTACCGGGGGGCTGCACACCCCGGGGTGCTGCCTGTGTGGGGCAGCCGGGGAGCCGAGGCACCGACAGCGATGGGGAACAGAGTCCTGGTGTCACCCACGATGCCGCTGGCAGCCCGGCCCGGCTCACTAGGAATATATATTATATTATTATTATTTTATTTTTTTTTGGTGAGACAGTATTGTGCTTTTTGGTTTGGTTCTTTTTTTTTTTTTTCCCTTTGGTGGAAAAAAAGTGAGGCTTTTTTTTTTTTATATGCCTATCTCGGCGATCGATATCCTTATTTATTTGTTGTAAATGTTGCTGCTGTGTTTCGTCTCTTGTGTGTGTGTGTGTGTGTATGTCCACCCACCCAGGTGAGGATTTGTAAGGTTTACATGCTCGTACACTATTGCGGGGACCCGGGAGCCTGCAATAACAATGAAGCCAAAAATCTGCCTTCCCCCTTCTCCTCCCACCCCCCCATATCCCAAGCTCCGTGGGCTGGCTGCTCTTTGGAGGGGATGCTGTAGCTTCTTTTCCTCTTCCTGTTCCCTGTTGCCTGCATTTTTCTGTTCACCCTTCCCTTTGGGAGCTCAGTGAGGACTCGCTCAGCCCAGCAGACTGAGCTGCTCCATCCCTTAGTCGGGCAGGGTGAGGAAACCACTGGGCACCAGAGCGTCCCTATTTCCTTCCTTTATTTCCATTTTCTCGCTGCATGAAAAAGTATTAATGGAGCCCAGAGCTGGGTTTTGCATTCAAACAGGTTCCTTTGCTATTTTCTGCTTTGCAAATGGTGGGAAGGTCTGTTTGGTGGTGGCTGTGAATCAGCCCATGTGCCAGTGGGGCTGGAGGAGCAGAGGGGGTGCATTGCTCCGTCTTGCTCCTTCCCCCCATCCCAGCTGGGGCCATGTCACAGAGGGATAGGAATATGCACCCGGATATGGGACACACAGATGTGGGGCTGCAGCGCCCCGGCCATGAGAGCTGCTTGTATGGCCTCTCTGTCACCCAGCACCACTCCAGGATGTGCCCCCGGCTCAGCCCCACTGGCACACACACCGTGGGACACAGTTGGCATCTCTGCTGGAGAATGAGCATTGGGTGGGTGCTGCCACAGCTCCGTTTCCACCTGCCTTGGCCCCTGCCCCAGGGAAGGAGAGATGTGCATCCCCTTGGGAGCAAAGTGCAAGATGCCTGTGGGACCCCTAAAGCCAACCCCGGGGGGCTCACCCTTCCACCCCTGGTCCAGCTGATGGTGGCAGCATCTTTCTGCCCAGCCGTATCCCAGAATGTCTGCAGCTCCTGTGGCCGAGCCTAGCTGGGGGACTGTCCCCATGACAGTGGGAGGTGACAGCTGGATGTGGAGGACAGCCTCACAGGTGTCTCATGATGCAGCAGAAAAGGCAGTGCCTTGGTGTTCCCTGAATCTTCCTGGCATGGCAGGGACAGCTGCCCCAGCCCAGGGATGCTGGTCCTTTGCTGGTCCTGCTCCCGAGTTTCAGGGCCATGTGCTTATGGTACTTTCTGATGCCCGTAAAAAAACCACCTTTCCCCGTCCCCAAGGAGACCAACCTCAAATCCACGTGCAATATTTCTGCCTCTTCTGCAGTTCCTGCCCCTGAGGGTGCCCATGTTTTATTGTGGGGGAGTCATGGAGGGTGTCACTTCGCTGCCTCCCATGGAAACTCCTTTTCCTTGATGCTTTGTGGCCAAAATGCAACTCTCTGGGGTAGACCTTTGCAGTGCCTCCAACTTGTTGAATGCTCATCTGCCAGACGGGTCCCTTCCCGGTGCCAGTGGATGTTCCCAATGAATGTGACACTGCTGTAATCGCCTCCGCTGACAAATGAGGGACCCTGTGACGTTTGACACAGTTCCCGGGCAAAGCCAAACCTCATTTGCTTTGACACTTTCCCCTGAAGAGCTTTCAATTTTCAGAGGACCTGTCATGAGTTGAGCTCCATCAGTGCTCCCCGGGGAGTCAGCCCTGCCAGGGTGCTCGTCATGCTGAGTGTCCCCGAGCAAAGTCTTTTGGCTCCAGAATCCGCCCCTGCTGCTGCGGATTTGGGACCCTGGCTTGGTTGCTTCCAGTCTCCCTTTGGTGAGCACCGAGGGCCCCCAACTCCTCCTGAACATCACCAGGATCTGCAGCATCCCAGGACTGCTGAAAATAAGGCTCGGAGCATCTTGTGCTTGGGAATGTTGGCCTTAAGCTTCTTGTGCCTCAGTTTCCCCATCAGTGAAGTGGCCGGGGTGAGCCATCCCCCTCTGGAAGGTTGTTCACTGCCTGTGCCCTGGCAAGCATGAGTGCTGGATATGGCTCATGGCTGCGGCCATGAGGGCTTGGCAGGACCCACCAGACATCAGGCACGTGTGGAACACCGGGAGCGGTGCACGAACCGCCGGGGTGGAGTTCACATCAACAAATAATTAAGTCCAGTCTCTGTTTTGCACCTGCCCATGACAAAAAGCAAACGGCCGACAAGCCCTGGTTTGTTTCTGTTCGTGCTCGAGTTCCTGGTGTCTGTCCAAAACAGAGCCCTGGTGACGGGAAGGGGACCCGAAGCACAGCCAGGCAGAGGCGCAGGTCCAGCCCCGGTGACTGCGGCGTGTCCCCCCCTTCTCATTTGTCCCTGTCGGTGTTGCCCCATTAAATGCCATGTCTGTACTTTCTTTTCATTTTTCTGTCCATGTGCTGACTGTTGCTGCTTTGTACCCGTCTTTCCTTGAGCTCTGGGGCTGGGCTGGGCTGAGCTGTTTCCCCCAGGAGCAAGGGTGTGGGAGAAGGCTCTGGGGGCAGATTCCCCCCTCCCTCTCCTCACGGCACAAACCAGGACCCAAGAGAGAGAGAGAAGCAAAGGGTTTTTCCTCTGGAGCAGCCTGGTAATTAATGTTATTTATAACGAGATCTTGCAGCCCCCAGGAGCGCTCTCCACTGGGTTGGTGAAATGGGGTGTTTGATTATGGGGAACCCCAGACCCTGTTTGTGCCAGGTACCAGTTGCATCTCACCCACATGTGCAGAAGCAGGTGCCTGTTGGTGCTCCCTGTGCCATCAGGACACTGCATCCTTGTGGGATGGGGGGGCTGAGGCTGTGGGACCCCCATCCCAGAGCCACTGCTCCTGAGTGGGCAGGGATGCAGGTGACCGGTTGCCCAGGGAGTGGAAAGTTCTTGGGGTCTGGGGACTGGCTTCAAAGCAGGGCCAGGCATGGCATGGGGGCAGCTGAAATCACTGGCAGAGCTGCCCTCTTCCCATGTATTTAGGGTCAGGGGGGATTTGGATGGGATGGGGGGGTGACTCGCAGCCAGCTCGCTGTCCCCTATCATCTCCAAGGAGAAGATTTGGGGCATTTAGTGAGGGCATCAGCCACCCCTCCTTCCCAAGGGCATTGGAGGGGAGGGATCTGGCTGGGGCAGGAATGAGAGCTAGGGACAAAGGAGGGAGCTGATGGCCCTGGTCTCAGTGCACAGTTTGGGGTACAGCAGTTTTGGGGTCTCAGTTGCACGTGCCAGCCCTGCAGGAAAGCCGTCCTTCCCTTCTCTCTCTGCTCCTGTGGCCACCTCTGGGCTGGGACCCCGGCCCCACCAGTGGGACCCCTGCCTGGGGGGTGGCTGAGCCCTGGGCTGAGAAGCAGCAGCTCCAGCAAAGAGCCTTGTTTGTGAAGATGAAGCCTGTGTGTGCGTCCGTGCCGGTGTCTCGGCTTGCATGCCCCGCTGCCTTGTCTTGAGATGAATTCAAGAGCAAACCAAGCAAAAGAAACAGTTTAAAAACAAAAAGAAAACAAAACGAAACCCAGGAACTTTGTGACAGTGGAAATAAAAGCTTAATGACAGTAACAAAAACGGCTGTGGTTCGTGATGTGCTGGGGTGGAGGGTCACGGCAGCCCCCGGGCACCCAGAAGGGCTGGGAGCTGGGCTGGGGGGTACAACCATTCAGTGCCTGGAGCACGGGGCTGTGGTGACCCCAGCAGTGAGCAGTGCCCAGGGGGTAAACCAGCACAGCTGTAAATAGGGATGCACTGTGCCCACACCTGTGATGAGCTGGGAGGTCTCAGCTCCAGGCATGTCAGGGGCCCTTCACCCTGGGTATCAATTCTCTTTCCACCTCCTTTTACCCAGACCTTCTGCCAGGTCCCATCCTGCCAGTGTCTGCATCCCTTCCTGTTTTCTTTCCCACACTTGCAGCCGGGTGCCCACTGGTGCCATCCCCGTCTCTTCCTCGTGGAGGCAGCAGGCTGGGGGCTGTCGGGTCGCTTTTGGCACACAGTGACTGCAGAGGAAGCTGGATGTGAATATCCCATCGTTGTGCCCCATGTCCCAGACCGGAGATGCCCCTCGGCAGCCCCCCCCCACCACTGGCAGGGCTCCCGGGGGGCTCCCAGCCTGGACTGGGCTTTTCACGTGCGGTGGGATCGCATGTGCCATTCTGAGCTGCCAAGTCTTCTGGAAACGAGCACTGCAAGGCCTCCCTGCCAGCCCATCTCTGTTGTGTTTGCTCTCCTAACGAGGCTGACTAATTGTTTTCGGGAGGCCAGAGGGGATGCCCTAATGGTCCGAACAAGGGGGCTGTGTTTGCACAGGGGGTTTTGTCCAGAGGTGCCTTGTGCCAGCCCGTGGTGGGGGCAGCCGGGGATTTCTCCCCTGTGCCAGGGAGTGGGCGAGGATGGGCACAGGCTCCAAACCACGGTGCTTGCTCAGAGGCTGTGCCTTAACCCCCAGCAAGGAAAGGGTTAAAGCCCAGCTAGCACAGGTGCTCCTGGGAGTGGGAGCACTGGTGAGTGTGGGAAGGGCCG